AGGGTTTCACCATGTTGGCCCAAATGGTCTCCATCTCCTGACCTCATGATACGCCTGCCTCAGCCTCCCAAAGTGCTGGGATTATAGGCGTGAGCCACCACGCCCAGCCTGCTGTTCATTATTTTAAGAAATAGGACATTTCAGCTCGGCACAGTGGCTCACACCTGTAATCCCAGCACTTCGGGAGGCCAAGGTGGGCAGATCACCTGAGGTCAGGAGTCTGAGACCAGCCTGGCCAACACAGTGAAAACCTGTCTCTACTAAAAATACAAAAAATGAGCCGGGCATGGTGGCACTCACTTGTAATCCCAGCTATATGGGAGGCTGAGGCAGGAGAATCACTTGAACCTTGGAAGTGGAGGCTGTAGTGAGCTGAGATCACGCCATGGCACTCCAGCCTGGGCAACAAGAACAAAACACCTCAAAAACTAAAAACTAAAAATAAAATAAATAGGACATTTCTCTTAAGTGGTTTCAGAGGAGCCAGAGATATAAAGGTGTTGCAAGCAGCCCTTTCCCATTCCCCCGCTTTTCTTACAAATGTTCATTACTTTGAGAAAATTTTACTAACATTTGTGCATATTAAACTCATCATCACAAAGGAGAGATGTAAAGTTGGATCAGGTGGTCTGAAAGCAGAATTCAGAGATAAAGGGTAAATCTGTCAACAGACTGTGAAATTTTTCATCAAATAGAATTTGATAAAAACTAACTCCTATGCTTGTTTTTAGATAAGTAGTTTTACTATGATGCCTTTGAAATTTCTCTTAAATCCTAAAAAGTTATTAAATGACCCAGAAATCTAAAAAAATGGTGTGCCCAGCAGAATCTGTTCCAAAATGTAGGACAAAAAATTTTCAGAATTATTCTGCCCACATAAAAATTATACTACTTTAAAATATCGCAAGCAGTTCACAGGATCTCCAGACATTCATCCAACATCAGTTCCAAACTACGATTTTCAAAAGCAGTTCATATTTTTGGCTCAGGAGTAATCCTACCAACAGCTGGTTGACAAAGTGGAAAATATACTTGTGTATCTATTTAGCACATTTGCCTACTTGAATTCTTGGGTGCAATATCAATTTTCCTCAAAAAGCCAGTTTAAATAGAAAAAGAGGAACTCCTCCCTAACTCATTTTATGAGGCTAGAATCATCCTGATACCAAAACCTGGCAGAGACACAACAAAAAAAGAAAAATTCAGGCTAATATCCCTGATGAACATCGATGTGAAAATCCTCAGTAAAATACTGGTAAACTAAATCCAGCAGCACATCAAAAAGCTATCCACCACGATCAAGTCATCTTCGTCCCTGTTCTGCAAGGCTGGTTTAACATAAACAAATCAATAAACGTAATCCATCACATAAACAGAACCAATGACAAAAACCACATGATTATCTCGATAGATGCAGAAAAGGCCTTCAATAAAATTCAACACTGCTTCATGCTAAAAACTCTCAATAAACTAGGTATTGATGGAACATATCTCAAAATAATAAAAGCTATTTATGACAAACACACAGCCAATATCATACTGAATGGGCAAAAGCTGGAAGTATTCCCTTGGCAAACCAGCACAATACAAGGATGCCCTCTCTCATTACTCCTGTTCAACATAGTATTAGAAGTTCTGGCCAAGGCAATTGGGCAAGAGAAAGAAAAAAAGGGTATTCAGATAGGAAAAGAGGAAGTCAAATTGTCCCTGTTTGTAGATGACATGATTGTATATTTAGAAGACCCCATCATTTCAGCCCATAATCTCCTTAAGCTGATCAGCAGCTTCAGCAAAGTCTTAGAATACAAAATCAACATGCAGAAATCACAGGCATTCCTATACACCAATAATAGACAAACGGAGAGCCAAATCATGAGTGAACTCCCATTCACAATTGCTACAAAAAGAATAAAATATCTAGGAATACAACTCACAAGATATGTGAAGGACCTCTTCAAGGAGAACTACAAACCACTGCTCAAGGAAATAAGAGAAGACACAAACAAATGGAAAAACATTCCACGCTTATGCATAGGAAGAATGAATATTGCGAAAATGGCCATACTGCATAAAGAAATTTATAGATTCAATGCTATCCCCATCAATCTACCATTGACTTTCTTCACAGAATTAGAAAAAACTACTTTAATTTTCATATGGAACCAAGAAAAAGCCTGTGTAGCTAAGACAATCCTTTGCAAAAAGAACAAAGCTGGAGGCATCACACTACCTGACCTCACTATACTACAAGGCTACAGTAACCAAAACAGCATGCCGCTGGTACCAAAACAGATATATAGATAAATGGAACATAACAGAGGCCTCAGAAATAACAGCACACATTCACAACCACATCTGATCTTTGACAAACCTGACAAAAACAAGCAATGGGGAAAGGATTCCCTGTTTAATAAATGGTGTTGGGAAAACTGGCTAGCCACAAGCAGAAAACTGAAACTGGACCCCTTCCTGACACCTTATACAAAAATTAACTCAGGATGGATTAAAGACTTAAACATAAGAGCTAACACCATAAAAACCCTAGAAGAAAAGCTGGGCAAAACCATTCAGGACATAGGCCTAGGCAAGGACTTCATGACTAAAACACCAAAAGCAATGGAAACAAAAGCCAAAATTGACAAATGCGATCTAATTAAACTAAAGAGCTTCTGCACAGCAAAAGAAACTATCATCAGAGTGAACAGGCAACCTATAGAATGGGAGAAAATTTTTGCAATCTATCCATCTGACAAAGGGCTAATATCCAGAAGCTACAAAGAACTTAAACAAATTTACAAGAAAAAAAAACAACCCCATCAAAAAGTGTTGAAGGCTATGAACAGACACATCTCAAAAGAAGACATTTATGCAGCCAACATACCTATGAAAAAATGCTCATCATCACTGGTCATTAGAGAAATGCAAATCAAATCCACAATAAGATACTATCTCACACCAGTTAAAACAGCAATCATTAAAAAATCAGGAACAACAGATGCTGGAGAGGATGTGGAGAAATAGGAATGCTTTTAAACTGTTAGTGGGAGTGTAAATTAGTTCAACCATTGTGGAAGACAGTATGGCAATTCCTTAAGGATCTAGAACCAGAAATACCATTTGACCCAGCAATCCCATTACTGGGTATATGCCAAAAGGATTATAAATCATTCTTCTATAAAGACACATGCACACGTATGTTTATTGCAGCACTGTACACAATAGCAAAGACTTGGAACCAACCAAAGTGCCCATCAATGATAGAGTGGATAAAGAAAATGTGGCACATATACACCATGGAATACTATGCAGCCATAAGAAAGGATGAGTTCATGTCCTTTGCAGGGATATGGATGAAGCTGGAAACCATCATTCTCAGCAAACTAACACAGGAACAGAAAACTAAACACCACATGTCCTCACTCATAAGTGGGAGTTAAACAATGAGAACACATGGACACAGGGAGAGGAACATCACACACCAGGGCCTTTTGGGAGGTGGGGGACTAGGGGAAGGATAGTATTAGGAGAAATACCTAATGTAGATAATGGGTTGATGGTGCAGCAAACAACCATGGCACATGTATACCTATGTAACAAACCTGAACACAAGTAAAATTAAAAAAAAAACAACTCCAGTCTAATATCCAGTAAATTAACAACAATGATGTTTCAGTTTTTCAATCTTTTAAGATCATTAAGATACAATGAAGTAAAGTTTATTCAGCCAGTGCTTTCAGTAAGGAATTTGAACTGCCCAATGCAGAAAATCATATGCAAAGTCAACAATTTTTAAACCAAAGTCACCAGCTATTATCATTTTCTGAAGTGTGCTCTGTGAGATGTTAGTAAGTGATATGTTAGCACAAACAGTTGGGGGGAGTTCACGCCAAATAAGATTGGGTACTCCGAAATAGAGTTTAACAAGTTTCTTGACTGCAAGACTTTTGAGACAGACCAATGATAATGGACACTGACACTCTTCAAGATGGGATGTGACATGTTTTATTCAAACTTATTTGACCAAATTTTGTCAGAATATCTAAAGGGCTTGGATTCTCATGGACAAATATAGAGAAATACTGCTCTTCTCTTCCTAAACTTGGTAACTCGGCTCCTTGAATGTTCAGACTAACTCTATTTTCAGTCAATTTGCAGTGAAACTAATTTTTATTTGCAAATAGTGAGAGCAGCTTTGTCCAACGAATGGAACAGTGTGAGGAACATTCTAAACATTGAGATTTCAACACCCTTTGAGACTATTCTTATAACTAATATCATTATCTAACAAACAAGGCAATGAGACCTATTAGAAAGTACTTGTGGCTTTGAATTAGGAAGATTTCACTTTGATGACTTAGAAAGCAATGAATTACTGCCAGTGGGGCAGGGCTTTGTTTGGTCTGTAGATCTCCAGTCAGTGGTTTAAGAGCTATAAATGATCAGATTTGAGGATATGGGGATTTGTGGTTGGGCACATTCATCTGCAATTGGGTACTTTCTAAATGAAATATTCATCTTTCCCAGCCCGGATTGTACCGTGGACCTATAAACCGTCCAAACTCCTGGCTTTTGATCCCAGCACTAAGGAAGAGGAGGAAGAGTAAAAGAATTGCCCAGCATTAGTCACTAATATAAAAGCTTAAGGAAAGAATCAGAGAGTGGCAGGGCTACCCTGCAGACAGGCCGTTAGGATATACTGACCTATGCTCTATCTCATTCTCTACTTTACACAGTGATTTCACCAAGCAATTTGTCTATAAGAACAAGGTCTTTGGTAAAAATTGAGTTAGTCACAAAGGTGCTATTAAATGAGATGAGGTAAAATGGGTCAAACTGTTGCACACATTTCTTCTTAATGGTATAGATATCAAATGTGTAGACATCCAAATGTTACTTTAGTTCAGATGTGAGGTGACATAATGTTTGCTTTCTAGCACAAGAAATTCAAGTTTTGCTCTTTAAGGACATCAAAACAGCACTGCGCACAGTAATACAGAATATAAAAACATAAAAACAAAATTTTTATTGGGAAAGGAAATGTTATGTACATTAAGTATAAGGCTGATGAAATGTATGACATTAGCAAACTCTAAGAAACAAATACAGGTTTAGTAAAGGAAGAAGGTGGAAGCTTACAACAGATTTCCATACACAATTTCCACACAGTTTTAAGTAACAAGATCTCAATTTGCATAAATTATACAGATCGAGGGAAAAGTGTATTGGTTGGTGACTATTTCCCATCATCAATTCACTTTGTACCGTATAGATATTTTACCATGATCCCAACTTTGGTAGTCCTAACATGTTCTAAAAAGGCCTTCTGAATCCATAAGTGGGTACTTATCGAGAGGTTATGTCACAGGTAGGTTTTTTTTTTCTTCATTTTGAATTAAATAAATTCCACATGCTCTTAAAGAAACTTCATGGTTTTCAAGACAGCTGCTTGAGCCAAAACTGGAAGAGTTCTTCTGTCCTGGGACATGCTTAAGTCATGTGTACATATGTGTAAAGAGTTTGGAAATGGCATCAGAATGTGTGTGCATCTTTGTTGATACAGAGTTTAAGTCTCATGTGAGCTAACAGAATCTATGCAATTCTGGAGACTATTGGTAAAAATGGGTATCTGTATGTGGTGTAGAAAACAATCTTCTATAAACAATACTCTGCTTATTTCTAGCCCCCAAACAGAAAATATCTAACAAGAACACTTTTATCTATGTTTATTTAATTACAACAAAAATAGAACAATGTATGCCAAATGGAAAAGGATATTAAAAAACGATAAAATATTTAGAAACAGAAATGACTAAATTTAACTGAAGGAATTATCCAGGTGCCATTAAACACATTTGGAACTTGTAATTGGTTATTAGTGTAAATTAAATTTTGAAACTGAGTCCCAGTTCACTACTAAGAGTTGTCAAAATATTTTCAAAATGTCACATCAAAAATTGGCAACATAAACACCAAACAAAAAATCATTGAAGAAAAATAAATATATCTTGAAATAATATAAAAATCACACCATGCTAGATATATACCCCCTTTTCCCTCACATACAATTGTGGGGCTTCAGTATTTTGCATGTTCCAGGATAAAGTAATGATAATATATATTGATGCAAATTTCAGCCATTAAAAATAAACTACTTAATATCTTAAATATTCCTACAATGAAACATCCAGACTCTAGTTTCACCAATCAAAATTTTATGAAGACATAAATTGCATTTGGTTTTAACTCCTCAAATCATGACTGAAAACTTTCAGCAAAGCATTCTAGGCTTTTTTTTTTCATACCAACTGACCCAGAATATATTTTAAGAAATGTTTATTTTCTGTGTATATTTGTTTTAAAATTATAAATTCCTGAGTACTTTTTCTTCTTCCTCCTCATCACTATCAGTGACATTGACTTGCTGGATGCTAGAAGGAGTTGATGTCGGGGCTGTGAAGACATTCTCCAAGGTTCCAATGTCCACCTGAGGCACAGGGTTTAAGTATTCTTCCCCACTGTGGCTATGACTGTTACAGTAAGAGGTTCCATTTATGTCCTCACGACTCCGAGAATTTTCACTGTGTGTGCGTTCATTTTGGTAGTCTCTAAAAGGAAACTCTCTATTTAAAGCTGAAAATATGGCCTCATGTTTTTGGTACGTGTCTTCATAATAACCAAGGCATTCTGGCATTGAACTTGGAAAATTTCCATAGCCAAAGGGAGGTCGACTATAAGGGCACGTGCTGCAACATAAAGACACAAACAAGGAATTAGATCATACCTGGCCCAGGTATTGCCTTGCATACAGACTAGGGAGCAAGTCAATGCATCCTCTTCGGGGCTTGGAAAGTTCCTTTCTGTAACCACTTCATGTGTTCCTTTGCTCTTTTCCCACTGCCCAGTCCCCACCCATAAGAAATAGGAAAGGGAGCTTGTAACTGGAATACTCACCAGCACTATTATCTAACGTTAGCCTCAGACTTCTTACTGTTTGACAATCTTGATAACAAAATTGCTTATTCTGGCCTTTCCCTCAAGATGCCTCAAACCATGTAAGGTTTTGGAATCCAGATGTGTGTTGAGCTAAGCTAAGAATTGACACTTAGTAAACAATGAAACAGTTGTTTTTACTGGTATTTGTGAATGTTCTATATTCTTGTTTCTCTGCATATCTTGTGACTTTTTTGTTGAAAACTGAATGTTTTGAATATTATAATGTGATGCCTCTAGAAATCAAATTCTTTCACTTTTCCAAGGTTTGTTGTTGTTGCTTCTTTTGGGTTGTAGTTGTTTATTTGGTTTTCTAGAGTATTTTTGTAAAGGCTGTATTCCTTGTTATGAATGGTCATTGAAATCTCTGTTCAATTAGCTTGGTGGTCAGATAGAAATTTGATAGAGATTTCCTTAAAAACCTAGAAACAACTGGCAGCAACCCTTACTGTTCTACAGCTACCACAGGTGATCCCAAGGCAAGCAGAGTCTGGAGTGGACCTCCAGCAGTCCTATAGCAGAGGGACCTGACTGTTATAAGGAAAACTAAAAAACAGAAATAACTTCCAACATCAATAAAAAGGACATCCACTCAGAGACCACACCTGAAAGTCACCAACTACAAAGATGACAGGTAGATAAATCCACAAAGATGGGAAGAAACCAGCACAAAAAGGATGAAAACACCAAAAACCAGAACACCTCTCCTCCTCTAAGGGATCACAACTCCTCACCAGCAAGGGAACAAGGCTGGATAGAGAATGGGTCTGATGAATTGACAGAAACAGGCTTCAGAAGGTAGGTAATAACAAACTTCTCTGAGCTAAAAGAACATGTCCTAACCCAATGCAAAGAAACTAAGAACCTTGAAAAAAGGTTAGACAAAATGCTAATGAGAATAAACAGCTTAGAGAAGAATATAAATGACTTGATAGAGCTGAAAAACAACACGAGAACTTCGCAAAGCATACGCAAGTTTCAATAGCCGAATCAACCCAGCAGAAGAAAGGATATCAGAGATTGAAGATCAACTCAACGAAATAAAACAAGAAGGCAAGATTAGAGAAAAAAGAGTGAAAAGAAATGAACAAAGCCTGCAAGAAATATGGAATTATGTGAAAAGAATCTGCGTTTGATAGGTGTACTTGAATGTGACGGAGAGAATGAATCCAAGCTGGAAAACACTCTTCAGGATAGCATCCAGGAAAACTTCCCCAGCCTAGCAAGGCAGGTCAACATTCAACTCCAGGAAATACAGAGAACACCACAAAGATATTCCTTAAGAAGAGCAACCCCAAGGCACATAATTGTCAGATTCACCAGGGTTTAAATGAAGGAAAAAATGCTAAGGGCAGCCAGACAGAAAGGTCAGGTTACCCACAAAGGGAAGCCCGTCAGACTCACAGTGGATCTCTCGGCAGAAACCCAACAAGCCAGAAGAGAGTGGGGACTACTCTCATTTAACATCCTTAAAGAAAAGAACTTTAAACCTAGAATTTCATATCCAGCCAAACTAAGCTTCATAAGCGAAGAAGAAATAAAATCCTTTATGAACAAGCAATTGCTGAGAGATTTCATCACCACCAGGCCTGCCTTACAAGAGATCCTGAAAGAAGCACTAAACATAGAAAGGAACAACTAGTACCAGCCACTCCAAAAATGAACCAATGGTAAAGACCATCGACACAATGAAGAAACTGCGTCAACTAATGGGCAAAACAACCAGCTAGCATCAAAATGGCAGGATCAAATTCACACGTAACACTATTAACCCTAAATGTAAATGGACTAAATGCCCAATCAAAAGACACAGACTGGCAAATCAGATAAAAAGTCTAAATCCATCAGTGTGCTGCATTCAGGAAACCCATCTCATGTGCAAGGACACACGCAGGCTCAAAATAAAGGGATAGAGGAAGATTTACCATGCAAATGGAGAGCAAAAAAAAAGCAGGAATTGCAATCCTAGTCTCTGATAAAATACACTTTTAACCAACAAAGATCACAAGAGACAAAGAAGGGTGTTACATAATGGTAAAAGGATCAATGCAACAAGAAGAGCTAATGATCCTAAATATATATGCACCCAATACAGGAGCACCCAGATACATAAAGCAAGTTCTTAATGACCTACAAAGAGACTTAGACTCCCACACAGTAATAGTGGGAGACTTTAACACTCCACTGTCAATATTAGACAGATCAATGAGACAGAAAATTAACAAGGATATCCAGGACTTGAACTCAGATCTGGACCAAGCAAACCTAATAGATAGCTACAGAACTGTCCACTCCAAATCCACAGAATATACATTCTTCTCAGCACCGCATGGTACCTACTCTAAAACTGACCACATAATTGGAAGTAAATCACTCCTCAGAAAATGCAAAAGAACAATAATCATAACAGTCTCTCAGACCACAGTGCAATCAAATTAGAACTCAGGATTAAAAAAACTAATGCAGAAACACAACTTCATGGAAACTGAACAACTGGCACTTGAATGTTGACTGGATAAACAATGAAATGAAGACAGAAATAAAGATGTTCTTCGAAACCAAAGAGAACAAATATACAACATACCAGAATATCTGGGACACATTTACAGCACTGTCTAGAGAGAAATTTATAGCAATAAATGCACACATGAGAAGCAAGGAAAGATCTAAAATCGACACCCTATGATCAATATTGAAAGAGGTAGAGGAGCAAGTTAAAAAAAACTCAAAAGTTAGCAGAAGACAAGAAATAACTAAGATCAGAGCAGAACTGAAGAAAATAGAGACACAAAAAACCCTTCAAAAAATCAATAAATCCAAGAGCTGGTTTTTGAAAAGATCAACAAAATAGACCGCTAGCCAGATTAATAAAAAAAGAAAACAGAGAAGAATCAAATAGATGCAATAAAAAACAGTAAAGGGAATATCACCACCAATTCCACAGAAATACAAAGTACCATCACAGATTACTACAAACAACTCTATGTACACAAACCAGTAAACATGGAAGAAAAGGACAAATTCCTGGACACTTATACCCTCCCAAGACTGAAATAGGAAGAAGTCAAAACTCTGAATAGACCAATAAGGCTATTGAAGGGCTGAAGTTGAGGCAGCAATTAATAGCCTACTAACCAAAAAAAGCCCAGGTCCAGATGGGTTCACAGCCGAATTTGACCAGACATACAAAGAGAAGTTGGTACCATTCCTTCTGAAACTATTCCAAACAATCCAAAAAGAGAGATTCCTTCCCAAATCATTTTATGAGACCAACATCAACCTGATACCAAAACCCAGCAGAGACTCAACAAAAACAGAAAACTTCAGGCCAATATCCATGCTGAACATAGATGCAAAAATCTTCAATAAAATACTGGCAAACTATTGCAACAGCACATCAAAAAGTTTATCCATCATGATCAAGTAGGTTTCATCCCAGGGATGCAAAGCTGGTTCAACATACGCAAGTCTATAAGTGTAATCCACCACATAAACAGAAGCAAAGACAAAAACCACATGATTATCTCAATAGATGCGGAGAAGGCCTTTGACAAAATTCAACAGCCCTTTATGCTAAAAAGTCTCAAGAAACTCGGTATCAATAGAACATATCTCAAAATAATAAAAGCTATTTACGACAAACCTACAGCCAATACCATACTGAATGGGCAAAAACTGGAGGCCTTCCCTTTGAAATCTGGCACTAGACAAGGATGCCTTCTCTCACCACTCCTATTCAATATAGCAGTGGAAGTTCTAGCCAGAGCAATCAGGCAAGAAAAAAAAATAAAGGGTATTCAATTAGGAAAGGAGGAAGTGAAATTGTCTCTATGTGAAGATGACATGATTATATATTTAGAAGACCCCATCATCTCAGCCCAAAATCTCCTTAAACTGATACGGAACTTCAGTAAAGTCTCAGGATACAAAATCAACATGCAGAAATCACAAGCATTCCTATACACCAATAACAGACTAAAAGAGCCAAATCAAGAGTGAACTCCCATTCACAATTGCTACAAAGAGAATAAAATACCTAGGAATACAACTAACAAAGGATGTAAAGAACCTCTTCAAGGAGAACTATGAACCACTGCTCAAGGAAATAAGAGAGGACACAAACAGATGGAAAAACATTCCATGCTCATGATTAGGAAGAATCAATATTGTGAAAATGGCTATACTGCCCAATGGAATTCAGAGATTCAACACTATCCCTATCAAACTACTTATGACCCTCTTCACAGAACTGGAAAATCCACCTTAAACTTCATATAAAACTAAAAGACAGCCTGCATAGCCAAGACAATCCTAAGCAAAAAGGACAAAGCTGGGGGCATCACACTATCTGACTTCAAACTATACTACAAGGCTATAGTAATCAAAACAGCATGGTACTGGTACCAAAACAGAGATACAGACCAATGGAAGAGAACAGAGGCCTCAGAGGCAATGACACATCTATAACCAGGCTGGGTGTGGCGGCTCATGCCTGTAATCCAAGCACTTTGGAGGCCAAGGCAGGAGGATCACCTGAGGTGGGGAGTTCAAGACACATCTACAACCATCTGATCTTTGACAAACCTGACAAAAACAAGCAATGGGGAAAGGATTCTCTGTTTAATAAATGGAGTTGGGATAACTGGCTAGCCAAGTGCCGAAAACAGAAACTGGACCCCTTCCTGACACCTTACACTAAAATTAACTCCAGATGGATTAAAGGGCTAACACCATAAAAACTCTAGAAGAAAAC